AGCCGTGTTAGTCTGGTGTAGCAGAAACAAAATACAGGACTACACCAGACTAACAACGCTACATTTCTATCACTATTCTACATGCAAGGCACTACTGTTAGCCGTTTGGAATGGAAATCCATCAACCAGATGAAGAAAATTGCACAGATACAGACAGACATCATCTTTCTATCCAGGTGCAAGAAGATGGACATCGTACCCAAAGGACTGACAGTGAACAATCCATTAAGATCAACATACTATACTGACTACAGTGAAAGACTCTGCCTCACACTATCCAAGAAATTAAGGAATCACCTGATAAGTATTTTATACAAGAAACAGAAAAACATCAAGAATGACATCTCTAACTTAGACAGTCTCATCTCAAGACAAACATCCACACGGACTGACACCTTGCAAGACTTTTGTTCCACCAGACAAGAAATCTACTATACACGCTTCTATTCCCTACAACAAAGAAAAGACAACAAATTTTCCAAGCTGCTCCACACCATAGGCTACAACAGCAACAACCTCAACCCACCGGATAATATTGTTAACCTCTCCAGCTACAAACTCAACCCAGCAGAAGAGTCTGTCTTGTCCAGGGGTCTCTCTTTCTGCCCCACGTCCCCCACAAATTGGATACAACTTTGTGGTTACCTTGGAGCTTTTTTTCGCCGCCTCTGCCTCCGAGAATATTTCCAAACCACCAATGAACACCAATCTGACCTACCAGATCCCCCCCATCAACAAAAAAGGAAGAATAATTCTATATGGACTCCCCCTGACGGTCGGAATTACAATCTAGATTTCTATATACAAAGCTTCCGCAACAACGCACAGACTAACATTATTCGCAAACAACAACAAGCGACATATAATCTCAGCCACGCTGAACACAGTCTCAAAAACAACCTGGACATTATAATCAAACCAGCTGACAAAGGTGGTGCTGTGGTCATTATGAATAAGGCCGACTACAACGAAGAGGCAACCAGACAACTCTCCAACACCACATTTTACAAACCTCTCTCCTCTGATCCCACCTCGGAATACCAAAAGAAATTACTCTGTCTCCTTAAAAGCCTCCCTACAGCTACTCGGGAACAAATCCACACAGAAACACCTTCTGACCCCCGACCAGGATTAGCTCAAGAAGACTCATTACACTGGTGATCGAAAAGTGCTGGATACCCAGGACGCCCCATCATCTCTGGTACTGGCACACTCCATTGCAACACATTTGTTTAAACAACTTAATCTTGGCTGGGTGGGCAATTAAATTTTTGGGTGTAAAAAGTACCAAAATAATCAAACGCTGTAAAACTTAAAACAAAAATTCAGTTTTCTCCAAATTTCAGTTTTGTTGACGTACTCCCCTCCTCTGCCAGCCCCAGACTTCTCTCAAGTATCCCTAAGGTACACCACTGGTTGAAAAGCACTGGTCTAGATTAGTAGGTTTGGGTATGTCTACACTACCCTCCTAGTTCGAACTAGGAGGGTAATGTATGCATACCGCACTTGCTAATGAAGCCCGGGATTTGAATTTCCCGGGCTTCATTAGCATAAGCGGGGAGCCGGTAGAATAGTGATAGAAATGTAGCCGTGTTAGTCTGGGGTAGTTGAAGCAAAATGCAGGACAATGTAGCACTTTAAAGACTAACAAGATGGTTTATTAGATGATGAGCTTTCGTGGGCCAGACCCACTTCCTCAGATCAAATAGTGGAAGAAAGTAGTCACAACCATATATACCAAAGGATACAATTTAAAAAAAATGAACAAATATGAAAAGGACAAATCACATTGCAGAACAGAAGGGGGATGCGGGGGGGTGGGAAGGGGGAGGAAGGAAGGTAAGTGTCTGTGAATTGCTGATATTAAAGGTAGGGAGAGTGGGATGTTTGTGAGTTAATGGTATTACAGGTGATAATTGGGGAAACTGTCTTGGTAATGGGTGAGAAAGTTCAAAGACTTGTTAAGTCCTTGTTGGTAAGTGTCGAATTTTAACATGAATGACAGTTCAGAGGATTCCCTTTCAAGTGCAGATGTAAAAGGTCTTTGTAGCAGAATGCAGGTGGCTAAGTCATTTAGAGAGTGTCCTTTCTGGTTAAAGTGGCAAGAAACTGTTTTCTCTTTGTGATCTTGTCTGATATCTGTTTTGTGGGCATTAATCCTTTGGCGAAGTGTCTGAGATGTTTGTCCAATGTACATAGCAGACGGACACTTTCGGCACATGATAGCGTAGATTATATTTCTGGATGCGCAGGAATATGTGTTCTTGATCTTATAACTTACTTGGTTAGGTCCAATAATGGTATCAGCAGAATGAATATGTGGACAAAGCTGGCAACGGGGTTTGTTGCAAGGGAAGGTACCAGGGTTGGTATTAGTGTGGTATGTCCTGTGGTGGTTGGTAAGAATCATCTTGAGGTTAGGTGGTTGTGTATAGGAGACTATGGGTCATTCTGCTGATACCATTATTGGACCTAACCAAGTGAGTTATAAGATCAAGAATACATATTCCTGCGCATCCAGAAATATAATTTATGCTATCATGTGCCGAAAGTGTCCATCTGCTATGTACATTGGACAAACGTCTCAGACACTTCGCCAAAGGATCAATGCCCACAAAACAGATATTAGACAGGATCACAAAGAAAAAACAGTTTCTTGCCATTTCAACCAGAAAGGACATTGTCTCAATGACCTAATCACATGCATCCTACTCCGGAAGACTTTCAAATCTGCACTTGAAAGGGAATCCTCTGAACTGGCATTCATGCTAAAATTCGACACTCTCCATGGGGGGGCTGAACAAAGACCCCAACTACCTTACCCATTATAAAGATAGCTTCCCCAATTATCACCTTTAAAACCATTAGCTCACAGACATCTACCTTTCCCCACCTCTAATATCATTAACTCACAGACATTTACCTTCCTCCCTCCCTCCCCCCCGCATCTCCCTTCTGTTCTGAAATGTGATTTGTCCTTTTCATATGTGTTCGTTTTTTTTAATTGTATCCTTTGGTATATATGGCTGTGACTATTTTCTTCCACTATTTGATCTGAGGAAGTGGATCTGGCCCATGAAAGCTCATCATCTAATAAACCATCTTGTTAGCCTTTAAAGTGCTACATAGTCCTGTATTTTGTTCGAGAGTTTATTGTAATTACTGAAGTTCATTCTGTACCTAATGACTGGAAGACAGCTAATATGATGCCAATATTTTAAAAAAGGTTCTACAGGTGATCCTGGCAATTACAGACCAGTAAGTCTAATGCCAGTACCGGGCAAATTAGTTGAAACCATAGTAAAGAATAGAATTGTCAGACACATAGATTTATAATTTGTTGGGGAAAAGTCAACATGGTTTCTATAAAGGGAAATCATGCCTTACTAATCTGCTAGTGCTCACTGAGGAGGCCCACAAGCATGTGGACAAGAGGAATCCGGTGGATATGGTGTACTTATATTTCCAGAAAGACACTGACAAAGTCCTTCACCAAAGGCTCTTAAGTCAAATAAGTTGTCATGGGATAAGAGGGAAGGTCCTTTCATGGATTGATAACTGGTTAAAAGACAGGAAACAAAGGATAAGAACAAACGGTAAGTTTTCAGAGTGGAGAGAGGTGTCTTCCAAGGATCTGTCCTGGGACCAAACCTATTCAACCTATTTATAAATGATCTGGAGAAAAGGGTAAACAGTGAGTAAAATTGCAGATAATAAACTGCTCAAGATAGTTAAGACCAAAGCAGACTGTGAAGAGCTTCAAAAAGATCTCACAAAACAGCAAATGAAACTGAATGTTGATAAATATAAAATAATGCACATTGGAAAAAATAATCCCAACCATACATACAAAATGATGGGGACTAATTTAGCTATAACAACTCAAGAGCAAGCTCTTGGAGTCATTGTGGATAGTTCTCTGAAAACATCCACTCAATGTGTAGTGGCACTCAAAAAAGCCAACAGAATGATAAGAATAATTAAAAAAGGGATAGAGAATAAGACAGAAAATATTGTATTGCCTCTAAATAAATCCATGGGATACCCATATCTTGAATACGGCGTACAGATGTGGTTGCCTCATATAAAAAAAGATATATTGGCATTGGAAAAGGTTCAGAAAAGGGCAACAAAAATGATTAGGGGGTTGGTACAAGTTCCATAAAAAGACTGGGACTTTTCAGCTTAGAAAAGAGGAGATGAAGTGGGGATATGATAGAGGTGTATAAGATCATGACTACTGTGGAAAAGCGAATAAGGAAAAGTTATTTACTTATTCCCATAACATAAGAACTAGGGGTCACCAAATGAAATCAATAGGTAGCAGGTTTAAAACAAACAAAAGGAAGTTTTTCTTCATACAGTACAGTCAACCTGTGGAACTCCTTGCCAGAGGATGTTGTGAATACCAGGACTTTAAAAGGGTTCAAAAAAGAACTAGATAAATTCATGGATGTTAGGTCCATCAATAGCTATTAGTCAGGATGGGTGGGAATGGTGTCCCTACCCTCTGTCTGTCAGAGGCTGGAAATTGATGGTAGGAGAGGGATCACTTAATGATTACCTGTTCTGTTCACTCCCTCTGAAGCACCTGGCATTAGCCACTGTCAGAAGACAGAATGCTGGGCTAGATGAACCTTTGGTCTGACGCAGCATGGCTGTTCTTATGCTCTTATGTACTTGGTCATTAATACCTGGCAATTCACTACACAGAAAAGGAGGCTAGTAGATCGTAAGTTCTTTTACAGAATCAGACTCCCAGGGCTGGAAGAGACCTCAGGAGGTCATTGAGTCCAGCCCAAAGCAGGACCAACCCCAAATAAATCATCCCAGCCAAGGCTTTGTCAAGCTGGGACTTAAAAACCTGTAGGGATGGAGATTCCACCACCTCCTTAGGAGACTTGCCACGGGCTGGATCAAATTAAGCAGGAGGCCAGAGTTCCTCCATCCCTGCCATAAACCCACCGTAATAAATAAGAAGTTGATAAAAATCTACTTACCTCGGAAATATCCTCTCCAGTTCCTCCCGGTGGGGTATGTGTGGAACTGGTGGGTTGTCATAGTACAAAAAATTGAGGAACACAGATCCAGCATGAGCACGAAATCTATCAATTTTTTCAGCTGACTGCTGGGCCAGGCAGCACATAATCTGTTCACAACTACGAATTAAAAGACAAAAAACTAATCCAATCCATCACATCACCATAAATAAATGAATGTACATACTTTAAACAGGAATTGCTTAAAGAAAGAATTGAAAATAATTTCTTATACTCGTTACACTACCCAAAATAATGAACTGTGGAATGAGATTGCTGTTTTATTCCATTTGCCTTTTTATAGTACACATTTAGATGAGCCATGACATTCACTGCGGTGGTAACTAAATCTGTAAGAATAGCCTCAAGTTAATTTGTACAACACCTCCAAATCCAAATATCCAGAAAATAAGAATATTAACCACACCTTGCACTCACCTAGCACCTTCCATCTAGAAAGATGCTTTATGGACTGGATGCAGTATGGGACCACCAATGAAACTGAACCACCTTTAAGGTGGGAATGAAGCAAACCCCTGACACAACTATGTTTCTAAACAGAAATGAAAGGGGGGGGGGGGGGGGAGAATGCTAATATATCAGGGAGAGTGCACTAATGTCATTACTTCCTTATGTGAGTGTCTGTCCAACCCCACCTTTTTTTTCTCCCTCCTAACTTATGTATCTAGAAGACTGCAAGTCCATCAGGGAAGACAACTCTCCCTCCTAGAAGGCTGCACCACCATACCTTTCGGCATGGCACAAATTATAATAATAGTAAATGAGAGACAAGGTGGGTGAGGGTAAGATCCTTTATTGGACTGGTTTCTGCTTTACAGAGCTCTTTGTCTGGTCTGGAAACAGTCCCCAGAGCTAAATGCAAGACGGGACAAAATGTTAAGCGCAAGGGATTAAAACATGTTGCAGGAGAACATTTAAAAGGAAGTGGACAATTATTACCACTGCAATCACAGGACAAAAGAGAATTAGAGTCTAGACTTGCCATTTAATGTGGAAAAAGTCCCTTTTTTGCACAAAAAGTGTGGAAGCAGCTACACTTGCCAATTTTTGCAGTGAAACTCAGAAGTTTCGCCGCGAAAAGAAAACAACTTCCACAAAATCACCTCCAGTGATGCCTTAATAGTGGTGTGTAAGTAACGACATGTTCTTGCTGTATACAAAGCTTTTAACCTCCACAGGATATCCCACAGTGCCTAGGTGACCACTTTGGCCAGCAGCTCTGCTGCTCTGACACCAGATAAACAGACAGCTGCCTCTCCCTCTGTAAAACCCTGGGAACTTTGAAATTCCCCTCCTTATTTTTTTGGCAAGTACTCACTTGTCATTTAGCCAGGTGATATGTCTGAACCACAGAACAAATGATTCCCTGCTTGTAGCAATGCGCAGCTACTGGAACTGATCAGTGATTGGGGAGGGGCTGGGCAGGGACTGCCCCACGATCACACCCCTTTCCACCATGACCTACTGTCAAAATGGAGAGCATTGCACTGTGGGATAACTGCCCCTTAGGACGTTGCTCTCATCAGCAATGGAAGTGCTGCAAATGTAAACACTCTCTGATGCCTGTGGAAGTAAGTGAACATACAAACCAGTGCTTTTCTTTACCAGTTCTTATCACTGGTAAAACAGACAGTTCAAACACTCGGCATATGTAGACACTGCCAAAGTGCTGTAAAAAGCCACAAAACCTGACACCGAATTTTCCACAACAAAGACACCCCCTCCCACACAACTATCAGACACTCATCAGCAATCATAAGAAGAAAGAATCTTATTATTGGACAGCCCTACTGGAAAGAGCTACCCAGCTGGAAAAAAAATCAACTGTGAAATTCTTAACAGAACATCACAGTCATCACAATCTCTCCACTGCGGACAAAACAGCTACACAACCCCTGAAATCCAGACACCAGATAACAAACAGCAGACAAGGGGGGAACATTGTAATCCTCAATTATGAGAGCATTAGTGAGGTCAATCCGACACCACCTTGAGTACTAAAAAGAACTCAAGATCGTACCACAATCCATAAATGCATTTAAAGAGATCATCAATTCCTTCCCAGAACTTCAAGAGACACTCTAAAACCTCATCTGTGTTCCCCGTAAGCTGCACACTTGTCTGGCACACAGATGAATAGCAGCCTGCAGCATGTGTTCACATGTCCCTGTCCCTACCTTGCTCCATCCATCCTGCAGTGGCTCCTGGGAGGCACCCTCTCGCTAGCTGTGCAATGTGAGATAAGGGGGGTGCTGATGTGTTAGGATGTCACCCCCGCTCCTCCTGCACCTCCTCTCTGCAGAGTAGAGCAGGAGGAACACAGAGCCCGGCAGCTCAGGTGGATTCAGATAACATGGGTCTGAATGACTCCAGCCTCCATGCAGCGAGTGAGCGCCTGCCTTTCCTAAAGGAGCAGCATGCTGTCTGAGATTACTGCAGCAGCCAGCTCATGCTTTCCCTCTCTCTGCCCCCGCCTATGTACCCCACCTCTTCAGAGAGAAGGAGGGAAGACAACGCAGGAACAGAGCAGCAGAGGTCAAAGCTTTCAGTTTCTTAAAGCACAGCACATGGCTTTTCTCAAACTTACCCAGCAGCAGCCAGCACATGCACTTGTCTGTGTCTCTCACACACCGTGTCACACACACTGTGTCACAGTCTGTGACAGACACCCCCACCATTTGTGTCACACATGCAAACACACACATCCTGAGTCAGTCTGCTACACACAATCACACACCCCATTTGTCACCCACCCATAGTGCGTGTGGGCGTGTGGCACAATCTCCTTCACACTTCTCTCTCAACACATTCTTGTATTACTGCTGTTGCTAATACTCACACATCTTCTCTACTTTTATTCTTTCAAAGTGTGCTATTTTACTGTTTTGACTGATCTATGCATTTCATAAGTTTTGGTTGTTATACTGAAATTTAATTCTTTGAATACTGTGCTCTAAAATGGCTAACCTGTCCTGGGTGGAGTAATTATCCATGTGGTAATTTTTAAAATACATATTATATCTAGACTATATTTTTGTTTCAGGTTTTGCCCATCTGCACATGCCTCGGAGCACGTGGATGGAAAAAGAAACTAGAGAGAACACCGAACATTATCCCCACCAAACCCAACCCCAGGGCTTCCCAAGATACACAAAACAAAAGAACCCAGGAAAACCCATCATCTCTGCACCTAACACTCTTCCTGAAGTAATATCGACACTCAGAAACCATCCTCAAACCACTTAGCACAGGAGCACCAGTTTTCTCCAGGAATTCTACATTAACTATCTCCCTCAGAACACCATCCTTGACACCTTGGATGTCATCTCCCTATATACCACAATCCTTCCCCATGACAGCACTGGAACTTCTCTCAAATAGCTACAAGGTAATGGACAAAACTAAGACATCCACCTCAAACACGTCACCAAACACGTCCATGTTATGCCCACCTACAACAATTGCACATTTAACAATAATCACTGTGTCCAAACTATGGGAAGAGCTCTTTGTAGTAGGTTGGCTGCCCAAGATGCCTCTCTTTTCACAGGCCACCTCAAGAAAAAAATTCTGGGAAAATACACATTAAAAAAATCAATGATATGCCTGAGATACACTGAAGATATTTCCATTTTCTGAGTAGATTGCCTAAACTCCCACACAGATTTTCAGATATTCAACCAGCAACAACCATCTATCAGGTTCTCTCTAGAACATTCACATATCACCATTAAATTCCTGACTGCTACTATCAGATTCAACAGTGGAACCTACGGACAGCTATATATAAGTATCCACATCACAACACTTACCTCCATAGATCCGGTAACACCCCCAGGCACACCAAGAAATCGGTTGTCTACAGCTAGGCACACAGATATAACAAAATATGCTCTTAGGAAAAAGTCTGAGAGATATAGCTTCATTCTCTAAAAAAGCACTTCACCAGAGATATAGATTACATCATGGAAGGGCACCCCAAATGCCCCAAGAGAATTGGCTTCAATATACAAACAACTGTACACCCCTAATTTGTCACATACCACATACACTGGAATTCATATGGGGTATCAGCAATTAAAGCCCTTACTTGATGCAAACCACATTCTAAAAGAAATCTTTTATGAACTTCCTCTACTGGCCTTTAAGCAACCCCCCAACCTTTCTAAGTCCATCATCAGAAGCAAACTCCACATGGACCAGAACACACCATTTAAAGCAACACCAGACCTTACCAGAACAACAGATGCAATATATCTCCACTGGTACCACAACACTTTCAAGACCCCTGGGTCGTGCACATGTCAGAACTCACCCGAGACATTTAATGCCTCAAAGTAACAGAGACTCACTACACTCTCAAATGAACTAGCACAGCAAATTGATAAAAGGCAAAACATCTCATCACCTATTTGTGAACATTTTTCATAAAGCAGTCACTCCATGTGTGACCTCTCAGCCACCATGATCAAAGCAAACCTGGACAATCTCTTCAAAAGATAAGCCTGGGAACATAAAATAATCACACTGTAAAAACCCACAAATCATAACTTTGGAAAAGACACTGATTTTATGTTCATTATAATAATTTGTATCCTAGTAAACTTCTGTCATCCTCTGAGTGCAAAGATATTAATTTCACACTTCATTTTTAGTGGTTTCCTGCCACATCTGTTAACTCCTTATGTTTAACTATTTGTCTTAACCAGCATTTAGCGGTGACACTCTGGTTACCTTTTCCAGACACGAAGAAGAGCTCTATGAAACTTGAAAGCTTCTCTCCTCCACCAACAGAAACTGGTCCAACTGAAGAGATTACCCTCACCCACTTTGTCTTTGCCTCACCCACAGTATCCCTGGTTTATATTTAATTAGGACACCTGAACTAACACACCTATTTTAGCAAATATGACAAGAATGTGTCATCTTGGGTCAAGCCATCAGGATTATTGTTTTACGTCTCATCTAAAAGTTTATCTCTGGGGCAACGAATTATTGCATAGAATCAGGTTGAGGCATTGGTGGAATACTATCTCAAAGAGCTCACTTACTAGAGCACCAAGAATTGTCCTTAAAGATCTCCTATTCAAATTAGAGGAGGAAAAAGGTGCACATTTGTAGCTGACTAGTTTATCCACTCTATTCTATAGATTCACACTGATTGATAAAGTTCCTCAGAAGGTTTTGCTGCAGGCGAACCTACATCAGCTCTAACGTCTCGATTCTGTGGGTTATTAAGAATAATATTACAAAATAATTCAAAATATGGATAAATTGCATTTATGGTTAGTGTTTAAGCTAACAAAGTCAGCTGCACTCTCAAATTCTAGGACCCTGATAAGCAGGGCTCGAGAAATAATGCAATCTACTCGCCTGTGGCGAGTAGACTGCAACCCAGAAGAGCTGGGTTTGGGCGATCTGCGCATACGTAGATCGCGGAGCAGATAAGGATCAAAGGATAGCAATAGATAGGAAAGGTACTAATGCAAGAATCTACACCAGTGTTTCCCAATTTTATTTGGCCATGGAACCCTTAGAGTTGCCTTAAAAAAAAAAAAAAAAAAAAAAAGCCCCTGCCGCGTTTTGTTGAGCAATAAATAAATAAATAAATAAATAAATAAAAAGCACTCTGCCATGGCTCTGTCTCTTTAACACGGGGCCGGGGAGTGCCAGCTCTTCGCGGAACCCTTGCTTTCGCTTCGCAGATTCCCAGGGTCCCCCGGAGCACCAATTGGGAAACACTGATCTACACAGATATACAAATCTATTCTCCTGACTCATCTCAGTGTCAGACCAGGTATATTGTCAAAAACCAGAAATTTAAAAGGGTAAGAGAACTAGGGATAGGAGCAGAGAGGTTTTGCAAGGAAAAATTTGAGGACCAGTCTTGATCTAGCTAATGTTTATTGGCTATTTTTGCCATTTAAGTTAACAATATCAGCAAAATTCATGAAGAGGACATGTTTGGACTAGATACCAAATATGTATAATGGACTAGGATGCGGGAAGGAATGCCATCATGGTTATATTCAGCCACATATATAATCTGTCTATATTATTTCCCTAGCTTGCAAAGGTGCTATGCAGTGTTATACACACATTTTTGTAAAAAGCTCTGTAACACTTAAGAGATTTATTGCATGCAGTATGCAGGCATTATTATATATATGGTCATATACGATGTAGGAATGGGACATTACTAAACATGAAATCAAAGAACAGGATATAAAAAGTAGAAGCTACATACATGTTAGCGTCAAGCATCTCTGGCTCATTTTGTACCAACAAAAGCGTCACCTCCATTAAACTTGTCATAGCAGCTTCTCTTACCCTGTGGAAATGAAGTTCAACAATTTTACAATACATGCAGATACAATTAATCTAATCAAACAAATATGGTGGCAAAAAAAATCAAGGTTGGGAGCTGAAAATAAGCACCTAAATAAATGTATTACATTCAAAATGGTTGAATACATCTTAATTCAAAAGGACGAGCACTCACATTAACTTCTGCGAAACTATGGATTTGGAGACCTAGCTTTAGGCACCCAATGTAAAAAACTGTAGCCATTCATAGAATCACAGAACACTAAAACTGGAAGGGACCTCGAGAGGTCATTGAGTCCAGTCCCCTGCTCTCACGACAGGACCCAGTACCATCTGATCATCCCTGACAGATGTCCATCTAATCTGCTCATAAATATCTCCAGAGATGGAGATTCCACAACCTCCCTAGGCAATATATTCCAGTGTTTAACCACCCTGACAGGAAGTTTTTCCTAATGTCCAACCTAAACCTCCCCTGCTGTAGTTTATGCTCATTGCTTCTTGTCCTATCCTCAGAGGCCAAAGAACAATTTTTCCTCCCTCCTCCTTGTGACACCCTTTAGGTGCCGGGAAACCGCTATCATGTACCTTCTCAGTCTTCTCCTTTCCAAACTAAGCAAGCCCAATTCTTCCAGTTTTCCTTCATTAGTCATGTTCTCTAAACCTTTAATCATTCTTGTTGCTCTTCTCTGGACCTTCTCCAATTTCTCCACATCTTTCTTGAAATGTGGAGCCCAGAACTGGACACAATACTCCAAATGAGGCCGAATCAGTGCAGAGTAAAGCAGAAGAATGACTTCTCGTGTCTTGCTCACAAGACTCCTATTAATGCATCCCAGAATCATGTTTGCTTTTTTTGCAACAGCATCACACTATTGACTAATATTTGGCTTGTGGTCCACTATGACCCCTAGATCCCTTTCTGCTTACTCCTTCCTAGACAGTCGCTTCCCATTCTGTATGTGTGAAACTGATTGTTCCTTCTTAAGTGGAGCACTTTGTATTTGTCCTTATTAAACTTCATCCTGTTTACCTCAGACCATTTCTCCAGTTTGTCCAGGTCATTTTGAATTATGACCCTATCCTCCAGAGCAGTCGCAACCCCTCCCAGTTTCATATCATCTGCAAACTTAATAAGCGTACTCTCTATGCCAGTATCTAAATCGTTGATGAAGATATTGAACAGAACCGGTCCCAAAACAGACCCCTGCAGAACCCCACTTGATATGCCTTTCCAGCAGGATTGTGAACCATTGATAACTACTCTCTGAGTACGGTTATCCAGCCAGTTATGCACCCACCTTATTGTAGCCCCATCTAAGCTGCATTTACCTAGTTCAGGGCTACTCAACTTTGGAAGCCCCAGGGGCCACAATGATACTCACAGCACAAGAGGAGGGCCGCAACTTAAGTGTGGTTGCATATATGTGTAAATATATATGCAAATAGCTTCTCACACTGACGGGCCCGAATATAAAGATTAAGGCAAGACTACACAACACGCAGGCCCCATTTAAGTTAGTTCAAATACTAATAAAATGCAATAATTATCCGATTTTCACCCATATGACAACATTTTTAATGAGCAATGACAGTCCAGGAATTTAACTACTAAGATGCATATCAACAGAAGATCATTATATTGGTTCGCTATTGCGGAACGTGTTCCCAGTTGAGGTCATGTTCAAAGGATCCCACCCATGGGCAGCGTGCTGAGCCTCGCATAAACCCAAACCGCAACACGGGCCGCAAACAAACGGGCCACGTGTTGAGTAGCGTTGGCCTAGTTTATTGATAAGAAGGTCATGTGAGACCATATCAAATGACTTACTAAAGTCTAGGCATATCACATCCACCACTTCTCCCTTATCCACAAGACTCGTTATCCTATCAAAGAAAGCTATCAGATTGGCTTGACGTGATTTGTTCACAAATCCATGTTGGCTGTTACCTATCACCTTGTCATCTTCCAGGTGTTTGCAGATGAATTCCTTAATTATTTGCTCCATTATCTTTCCTGGCACAGAAGTTAAAGTGACTGGTCTATAGTTTCTTGGGTTGTTCTTATTTCCCTTTTTATAGATGGATACTATATATGCCCTTTTCCAGTCTTCTAGAATCTCCTGTCTTTCATGACTTTTCAAAGATGACAGCTAAAGGCTCAGAGACCTCCTCTATCAGCTCCATGAGTATTCTAGGGTGTATTTCATCAGGCCCTGGTGACTTGCAGACATCTAACTTTTCTAAGTGATTTTTAACTTTTTTTTAAATTTTATCTTCTAAACCTACCCCACTTCTATTAGCATTCACTATATTAGGCATTCCATCAGACTTCTTGGTGAAGACCGAAACAAAGAAGTTATTAAGCACCTCTGCTATTTCCAAGTTTCCTGTTTATTATTTCTCCCTCCTCACTGAGCAATGGGCCTACCCTGTCCTTGGTCTTCCTTTTGCTTGTAATATATTTATAGAAAGTCTTCTCGTTTCCCATTGATCGTGTTTAGTTTGATATCAGTACATTTCATATGTTTGATAGCAGCCTTCAACTACCTAAAAGAGGATTCCAAAGGGGACAGAGCCAGCCAATTCTCAGTGGTGGCAGATGGCAGAACAAGAAGCATTGGTCTCAAGTCTGAGGTCTCTTCCAATCCTAATCCTCTGTGAACCACTTATAAAGTGATAGTAAGAAAGTTATACTACTTAGAAAATAAATGATGAAATTCAATATAGCAGCTTAGAAATCTTTCATCATGAAGTACAGGCAGTCCCCGGGTTACGTACAAGATAGGGACTGTAGGTTTGTTCTTAAGTTGAATCTGTATGTAAGTCGGAACTGGCGTCCAGATTCAGCGGCTGCTGAAACTGACCGCCAGTTCTGACTTACATACAGAATCAACTTAAGAACCCCAGGCGTCCCCAAGTCAGCTGCTGCTGAAACTGATCAGCAGCTGATTCCAGGAAGCCCGGGGCAGAGCAACTCTGCCTCAGGCTTCCTGTAGTCAGCGCTGGTCAGTTTCAGCAGCGGCTGAATCAGGACGCCTGGGGCAGAGCAGCTGGGGTGCTGCTGGGTTGCTCCAGTAGCGCTGCTCCTCGGGGCTACTGGACCAACCCGGCAGCACCCCAGCTGCTCTGCCCCAGGCGTCCTGATTCAGCCGCTGCTGAAACTGACCGCCAGTTCTGACTTACATACAGAATCAACTTAAGAACCCCAGGCGTCCCCAAGTCAGCTGCTGCTGAAACTGATCAGCAGCTGATTCCAGGAAGCCCGGGGCAGAGCAACTCTGCCTCAGGCTTCCTGTAGTCAGCGCTGGTCAGTTTCAGCAGCCGCTGAATCTGGACGCCAGTTCCGACTTACATACAGATTCAACTTAAGAACAAACCTACAGTCCCTATCTTGTACGTAACCCGGGGACTGCCTGTATTTTCTCTCCTTCATAGTATTAGATACTCATTAGTCACCCCCGTAGACAGATTGTTTGCTGGGACTTGTCCAATCTGTTATAAGGAATGTTTCATTTTTCATATGAAAAATAAAGTTGATTAACCTTCCCACACATTTATCAAAGATTCACCTTCTTTCTCACACACACACACACACACACACACACACACACTCTAAAGAAAATGTTTCTTTCACACAGAAATTGAGATTTTTTTTCCTTGTAGGTCTTCCAAATAAGCCTTTTTGTTTGAAAGAAACTAAAACTGGAAACAGACATCAAGGGCCAGTTTTTAAAAAGTACATAGCTTCCAATAGCTCCCACTGAGAAGCTCTTTCTTTAGTTACCTGTTATTGTTGATTTTGGCTGGCATTGTCAAAGGAGCTTTTTGGGAGGTTAGCACCCAATTCACACTTGAATTTCAATGACAGCTACATCCCTGAAGCTCCTTTAAAAATCCCAGGCTCTACTGAAAATGTTATTTTTAATTCAAGGCAGAAGCAGAGGGAGGAACGAAAAAGAAAGTTTATCATGGGTTAACTGACCAAAATAGCTACTGCAAAACAAACTAGTCCACATGTACACTCTTATTCCATGTAGAATAGTGATAGAAATGTAGCCGTGTTAGTCTGGGGTAGTTGAAGCAAAATGCAGGACAATGTAGCACTTTAAAGACTAACAAGATGGTTTATTAGATGATGAGCTTTCGTGGGCCAGACCCACTTCCTCAGATCAAATAGTGGAAGAAAGTAGTCACAACCATATATACCAAAGGATACAATTAAAAAAAAGAACAAATATGAAAAGGACAAATCACATTGCAGAACAGAAGGAGGAGGCGGGGGGGTGGGAAGGGGGAGGAAGGAAGGTAAGTGTCTCACACAAGGTGCTATTCTGGAATATACCTCATGTAGACAAACCTTAACAGTGAACAAGTAGGAGGAAAAAAAGACAGGCCCAGGTTATCACCTGCCTATGTATGATTACCAGTAAGGGATTTGTACTATCATAGTGGGGGTGAGCCTAAAGGAGGTATAGGAAGGAGGATTCTTGTCTATTTCTAGTTGCTATTTCTTATGTAATACAACACAAATAATCAAATATTAATTTCTGCATGTAGGCATTACGTGATTGTGAATGAGAAATAAACTTGTTCACAAGACAATCGCTATAGAAGAGGTATTCCACTCTGGGTGTGAGAACCTATGTTCTAAATTGATGGCATTGAATTAAAATGGCCATGTTTGGTAAAACGCCAGTTAAAATGCCTGTGCAGCAGCATTTACTATTGAATGTACTTAAAATGGCTTCTGAAAATTCCAGCACATTAGGAGGAATGTCAAAAATATTTTTGCCATAAGGCCAGTGTATCAATAGTTGAATGGTAGATGCTGGCAAAGAGAGGACTATGTTCTAGAAAGTAATTTACCCCTAAAACTTAAAAAAAAAAAAATTAGCAAATGCATGTTTCTGGGACCATGGTCCCATCACATTGTATCCTCAGAAAGTTCTACATTTCACCTCTATGAGACAGTATAATAACCATCAGCATACAGTAGAACCT